TTTTTGCTGATTGAGAAAAATATCAGAGCCAAACCAGAATGGGATTAAACTACAGTGCAGAAGGAATAAAGTAAGAAGAAAGCATGCTGTTGACAGAAGTTCAACTCTTTGTTGCTTCACAGAAAATGTCTTCGAGCAAATGCACATTTTACTTCAAAGAAGCAGCAGGACGTCTTAAGGGGAAGTAAGCAGACAATGTTTGGCATAGATTAGCTGTGTTCTAATTGAGGTTAGAAAATAGTCTCAATCTACATTTAGTCATGCTTGGCCACATTTTGAGAGTTGACTAATTCTTATCTGGAGATTAGCAGCTTTGGTGAACCTCAGACCTGCATAAACATAATTACGGTAAGCAACACTTATCCTGTGGTTGTTGTTTCATGTTTGTCAGAAGCACAGAGCCAGAGATTTGCGGCACGTTGATAAATGTGACTCATAAAGGATGGCAGGTCACTTAAGGCAAGAGTCGGGCACGGCCTGTTTGTTCCCGCAACTCCATAAGCTTTGAGGAATTTTTAAGCCCTGTGAAAAATCCAGAAATCAGAATATCTGTGTCAGGATTCAGGTAAAGATAAATGCTGGAAAATTTCAGTAAATCACATTGACACTGTAATTAAAAAGAGAGTAAGATCTTTCAGATGAGAGCCTCGGGCTTAAGGCTCTTATCTGTCTCTGAGTGTTATCAACTCCATCTCCAAGTTGAGGAAATTGGAATTTAGCGAGGCTTAACACAGGCAAACTCTCCTCAGGTTCACACGAACAATTGTTTAGAAATCTCATTACCCTGCTCTCTTACCTATTACTATTTAATACAGTTCTCCAGGTACGTTTACCCCCACAAAATAATGCGCCGAGTGTAATTTGATTCAGCCGCTTAAGGCTTTCACATTTCTTAAAGTATGATAGATGGAGGAGCATGAAAGGCAAGCGGGATCTGGCGTGCAGCCATCATTGAATCAGAAGGAGAAAAAAATATTAAGAACATGACACATTTCTGAAAATCTTCTGACCTTATGAGATTTGGTTCTTTGTTCTCACGGAACACTTTTATGAGCTGCCACCATCGGCTATCGTTTTATCGTTCCTTTCAACAACCCGTTGTGGTTTAGTTTCTTCTTCTGAGAGCTACACATTGAAAGCTGCATCAAATGAGCCTGTGCATACGTTACCTATACTTGTAATTTCTGCAGAAATGTGACATTTTGTTCTCATTCTGACCTTGACCTCATATTCAGACTTCACAAGACAATCAGTGTTGAGCGGACATTTCTCACTGTGAGTGTACATTCTGACTATCTTACAGAGTTTTTCCTGTGTGCTCCACTCATCTTTTCCTCCAGACAGCCACAAATTGAGTTTGTTTTTGGCAAATTTGCTATTCTTGGCGTGTAGATTAAGCTCCAGCAATGTGATCTGAATTTCCAGCTCTCGGTATCAGACAGCTCATCTCACATCACGAGGTGTCTGAAACTGTTAAGTGTCTCAATTGCTCTCTCTCTCTCTCTCTCTCTCTCCGTCTCTCACACACATTATATACACGCAGAAGAAAAAAAAAAAAGAAAACGAGGGAGGCGTTCTGTTTACAGCTGCTATGTGAAACTCAATTACACAGCCAATTGAGAATGTGGCTGTTTCTCAGATTTGTGTGATGTGTTCCTGACCCAAATAAGATTGCTGTTCCCAGTGAAGCTTCAACAACTGCAAACACTTACTAGACTGACAGACAAGGAAAACAGTGCACACATACTGACACAAACACACACTCCTGGATCTCTGCTTCTCTCATTCATAGCTGCTGAGTGTTTTCCTGCGTGGTCCCCCCGTGTTACTGCCCCCGGACCCCTCAGATGAGGTAAGGTTAGATCTGGAGCCGCAGCATTATGCCATCTGGATAGACATGCTTGCCCGTGTGCACACGTACGCACACATGCAGATATACTCTTGTCATAACCCACACTGACAAACACCTGGACCTGGTTACTGGACTCGAAGGGAGAGTTGAGTACTGTGTGCATGCCTGTGTGTATAAGTGGGGTGTTTGGGGAATATTGGGCTGTAGGTTATTCAGTGCTGGAGGCTGTGTTAAGGTTCTTTTTTTTTCTCCTGCCTTTTGAGCCCTTGAAGAAAGGGGCCCCCTCTACCACGTCTCAGGAATTAATATGTAGACTCATTCTAGTAAAATATCCCACTGTTGTGATGTTGTCGCAGTCAATCTGAAATCCCTGTTTAAGCAGTTGTTTAATCATACTCCTGGTTTTGGTTGGAGATGTTTCGCCTCATGTCTTTGTCCACTTTGACCCTGATAGCATTAAAACATGAGTCCGTTTGCACATTAAAACTATGTGCCACAAAACTCTGATATTGTCATTTATTCTGCATGTGTTGAAATCTACTCCGGTAAAAATGATGTGAATATAAAAATAATAATAAAACGTCTGACATTTTAAAAACTTTCTGTACCATTATTGCACATTGGATCCATACACACAAACCTAGACATGGACTGTTTCTTTGGGGGTCTTTTTTCTTTCACAAACATGCAAAATCACACTCATTCACTCATTTAGACCACTAAAAATGTGAAATCAAGAGCTGCAATTTTAGATATGAAGAGGACACGTTGTTTTAAAGTAGAGAAAGATTTGCATGTTTGCATTTATAAAGCACAGAAGTCACAGGAGCCTGTGCCGTCCAGTGACCTGCGCTGATGACAAATGATGTAATCCTAGAACACAATGCGCTCCTATACCTGCCATTAGTCTCGTCTTCCTTATCGATTGTGAAGACAGAGAGAGACAGAGGGCTGGACTCACTTTGCTACTGACTGTAAGCCAAACAGTTTACGGAACTTTTCTTGTTTTCTAAACACAGTAACACATGAAGCCAAACTCCGTGTCATGTATAAACACCGCGGTACCGAGCTCTCCAAAACTCCTCTCGGCTTTAACTTCTGTCTCCTCCCAAAGTTGTGCAGCAGCTTCGCGGTGAACTAAACCACAAACAAACGACCGTAAACGAGTCGATCACACGTGCAACAGGCTGTCAACACCTAGCAAACAAAAAAGAGCAAACAAGTTTCCAAGCTGATTGCAACCAACCGTGATTTAAAAAAAAAAAAAACGCGACGCCAACTTTTACGCATTAAAACAAACGCGTCCGTCAGTTCGCCACTCGGTTAAACTCCAAAGTTTACTCACCTTCCGATGCTTTCTTTGCTTTCTTACTTCTGTGGGGAGGAATAAAGTTGCAGCACAAAGATGCGAGTCGCTCTGTTTCCACGCAGGACGTGTAGTTTTTCTTCCTTCCTCTTGTCTGCTCTCGCACAGAAGCTTCTCCTCCGCCGCTGCTCTCAGAGTCACTCCGGGTGATTCATGGCACGACAAGAAGGAGTGCATTAGCAGGAGGAAAGTGTTTGAGTGAAGCTCTGCGCAGGATGGACTCCTCTGACAACTTGGTGTTGAATAAATAATGACAACAACTGCACTACAGCTCCTCTAATTGATGTAGAAGAAGAAAGGACATGCGCAAAGTGGGTATGTTGGCTCCTTGGAGCAGAAGGATTGTTGTGCAGGTTTCTTCTGCAGCTATCAGACTGTTGGTTATAGTAGATCTCAACAGGGAGGGGATGTCAGTGGCAAGTTTTTGTTGGACTTTTCTACTAAGAATACATAGAAAAAATAAAGTAGAGACAGTAGAGGATGACTCTATGCAGACAAATATGTTCAATTTTTACAATTATAAGAACATTTCCTAATGTTTCAGTGAAATTTGATGAGTAAATACTACTAGGCATGCACAATATAGGATTCTTCTTGTGATGGTCTGTGGTTGATGCAGACATAAAACACAGTTCTTCTCGAATTCAATGGGCAAAATAATAATTTAAAAAATAAATCAACTTACAGGTAACATGCCCTATTTTTATATTATATACTATTTTCTCATTTTTATACAACACTTCTTTTTTGTTTGCAAATTTGCCACTTTTAATAGAGATAACTGAACATAATAGCATCCCTGTTGTAACATTTGCAACCTAAACCGTAAGCCTTCTACCAGTCAGTGTTCAAAGTTACAATCCACTTTTATTGTCCGATGCTGTGCCAGTGCCACTGAAATTACACTTTGTTCCTATTCCAATACATGTTTAGGATAATGCATCGTATCAAGTCACATATGTAAATCTTCTTAGAACTGTTTCAGATATAGAACATGGGGACATGAATAATGCTGGAGGATGATCCGGCCTGACTCATGTCTTAAATCCATTAGGACACAAATCCCTATTAATGTGTAGGGGTTGCTGCTGCTGCTGCTGTGTGGGTTTGCGTGAACATTTGGTTTGTTGATTTGTCCTGTGAAAATTCAACAGGGACATTAAAGCAATTCTCTTTATCTGCTGCAGAGTGCTGCTCTGTATTTATAGCCTCTGTTCCACGTCAGCATAGCGGCGTACGTGTGCTTCACAGCCAGAAGGTTCTCGGTTCGAACCTGCTGGTCAACTGGTGCTTTTCTGTTTGGAGTTTGCATGTTCTCCCCGTGTAGTCTGGGTTCTCTTCGGGCTCTCACAAGTCCAGAAACATGTTGAGGTTGCCCTGTGATAGACTGGTGACCTGTCCAGGGTGTCCCCTGTCTTCATCCTGAGTCAGCTGGGATAGACTCCAGCCCCCCTGTGACCCTAGTGAGGATTAAGCGGTGTATAGATAATGGATGGATGGACGTTCTCCTTGTGCCTGCATGGGTTTGCTCCTGATGCTCCTTTTAGAGTTCAGTTTGGTCACTCTAAAGTTGCCGTAGCTGTGACCGCTTGTCTGTCCATCCAGAGTGTACCACATCCTCTATAATGTGTGTAGCTACTGGATGGATGCACCGGTCTGTTCATTTGTGCAAAAAAGCAGCGTGTGTTAATGCAGCCAGCCACTGCCGTGTGGCTGACGTGGGAATGGTGAATGGTGCTAGTAACCACTTGATGGCTCTCATTGATTCTTACCTGCCCCGGTGTCACTCACATCCTCTCATCTCAGCACAATCTCCTCGTCTGCATCTCTCCGTCTGACCTTTTTCAGCAGCCTAGACGTGTTGAAATCTGCATGTCGCACTGCTTATGTCAGAATGCTCACCACAGCCGTGTGGTTTCACAGTTAAACAGGAAGTTTAGTAGGTTAAGATGGTATTATGCTGACGGAACAGAGAGCAGACATAAAGAAACACAGGATGTTGCTCTTGGGGGCTTAAAAGCAAAAATATTTATTGAAGAACTCAGGTCAGTTTTAACAGCTCCAACTGCAGTTTTGTAGTGAGAAAAAGAAACATCCCAAACTATAAAAACTGAGCTATTTCAATGAAAACTGTGGGAAATAAATGTCAGTATGAGCTCTGTTGCCTTGTACTAAAAGATCATATGTATCCAGTAGAAATAATGAAAAGTAAATCACCAAATAACCATGATGGTGCAGTTTATGGAGAGACAAGTGTGATGTAAAAAAAAAAAAAAGAAAAGAAACTACCTTCTATACAGTCACTTAAAATTACAGCCAAGTTACCCAAATACTAGAAATTAAATATATATCGTCAAATCATATTTCTCCCTCTTCTATACTAAATTAAATATAGTTTACTACACAAATGATTTCCCTGCAGGCCAGAGAGAGCGACACACCTAAATGACGCACTTAGAGGATTAAATGAAAGAAAAAAACATGTTTGAGGTCAAATAAATAAAAATAGAAATATCATTAAACTATATGGCACCAAATACAGAAACTAGATTTCTACCAGTGCTATGCAGCGATATATTGTATATATATTTGTTGTTTGATAGATTTTTATTTATTGTTAATATATATATTGATATATTACTTACTGTCCATAAAATCAAGAGTTTCTCTTGTTTGTTGATAAGTGCCTTCCTGTTTCAAATTCATATGTGGAAATGTAATTTTGTTAAAGGTAACCAACTTCACACAACAAAAGCAAAAGAAAATACAAAGAATTTGCTTAAAATTAAATTCATTTACAAATATTAAAAACTGATCAAATCAGAGGCAGCAGCTTTAATTATTACCTCATACATTCAGCCCAACCTGTACTCATCAGTCTAATACACATTTTTAATGCATGTTGTGATATTTAATAGCTGTTTGTGAAATCATTTTGGCATATGTGGACAACAAAGAACGCAGCAATAAAATATAACAAAGTTTGACACTGGAAATGTAATAATATTCTCTTGAACTCTTCAAAGTGTCAGATTAACACACTAACAAATATAAACGCCCGCTAAGAATAATTGCCAGTATCCTCCTCTCGCATTGCAGTCTTGTAGTATGAATATGGATATACATATTCACACAATTCTGGTCTTGTCTTTATGAGTCATGTGTAATGAGTGGTGTATTTTAACAGGGTAGAACAGAAGATGTGACCGTCTCACCACTTCTAGTAACTTAATATTAAAATCTGGATGAGGAAGTAAAGACCATCATCACAGTCCTGTGTAGTAGAAAATGTATAGCTCTGGTGATCCCTAAAGGCAGCACAGATACACTGCACCATTTGGCAGTGAAGGTGTCCTATGTTTAATGCATAAGCACATAAAATCCAGATAAACTGATCAGAACTATCCTAGTGAAGTGCAAGCTTTACTGATTCTTCTCTCTGGAGGAACCACCACTGTGTACGAATGAGAACTGCTTGAGTTGTATTGTCACATGAGCTAAGTATTATTTCAGTAGGAGTCCCTGTTCACCCTACCGAGACAAAAAAAAAAGCACGAGAAGAGTCCAAGCTTCATATCTTCAGGGTGTGAGCATGTTTCTTGCAAAGAGGTTTGTCCTTCTTGGAGAAGAAGGCCTGACCTTCCAGCGTGGTGCAGCACACCTGTAAAGAACCCAACACACACACACACACACACATAAAGAGGCTACATAACAGAAGTCATTGAGCACTCTCTCACTGATTTAATTCAGTGTCTCATTAGAAATAATGAGAAAATGGCAGAAGTGTATATTTCACATTACTGTGAGAGGCTAACTCCAAACCATTAAACCAGAACTATGGGTTCAAACTGACTGATATAGATGGGATAGTTTGGCAATAAATGTAAAATAAAAAAGCTTAAATTTATAACTGAGTTTGCAATATGAAATCTACTAACAAACATACATAAATAGTTGTTAGGAAAAGTGTGTTATGGTCAGTAGCAGTGGTTGTCGTTATGATCTCACCAGGTTTAGGTCTGACTCTGTGTTAAGATGTTTGTTTCATGTGGCTGCACTAATTTTTCCTTATAGTCCAAAGATGTCCAAAAGTGGAAATGGGATCATGGAGCTTTCTGTGCTGTTCCTGTGACATCTTACTGTGATGTGTGTCCATGACATTCACTTACAGCACAAACAAAGCAGGTGTCGTGCCAGGTGTAACCAAGGGCCTCCAGGAACTTGTCTCCAGCCTCGATGGGGAACTCACAGCCGTGGCAGCCAGTCCCAAACAAACTGTAAAAGTCTTCATAGAGACAAAGAACACACATCAAATAAACCAATCGGGGTTTTCAGTCAACAAAACCACACACTTGAGTGCTTTACACAGAAATGAATACACCAGATAATCTTACTGAAACTTTCAGAAGTCAGTTTGCGACAGAAGGCTTCTTGTGTCTTTCTATCCACGGATTTGTTGGGTGTCTTTCATTCTGGCCTAAAAATGTATTTACCAGCCCTATCCACATAGTCAGTGTGTCCAATCAGCACACTGTACAGTCATTTGGTACCCACACAATACCCACACTGGTAGTCTTGAGCATCTTAATGTACATTCACAAGCCTACAGGTAGTAGGCAAGTGTGTCCCACGTCAGAAAAACGCTGACACACAGTACACTTAACCCACACGTGTCCAAACACCGCTTCCAACTGGTATTCAGAGCTTATTATATTCCACAATTCAGCACAGTCCACTGCTCCTCGCTAATCTGGTTGTTGGCTGTAATGCCGGTTTCAGGGCCTAATTAATTAGAGTTAATCCACCCATTAGCTTTACCCACTTACAGCCTGTCCCAGCTGAAGTAGGGTGAGAGGTGAGGTATGTCCCACACAGGTCACCAGTCACATCTATGGGCAATTTAGAGGCACTAGATGCAACCAACATTATGAGTCTCTTGTTAATAAATCAGTCAATAATATTAGTGGATTAACAATAGTCACAGACATGAAGTTGAAATAGTCTGTGTGGATAGAATAATTCATATCCAAACATGCAGCTACAGCAGAGCCTGGAGTTGTCATCAGATCTGTTCTATGAAGATAACTGACACTGTAAAGATAAATATCAAGTACCATCCATCCATCCATCCATCCATCCATCCATTTTCTATACACCGCTTAATCCTCACTAGGGTCGTGGGGGGCTGGAGCCTATCCCAGCCGACTTAGGGCGAAGGCAGGGGACACCCTGGACAGGTCACCAGTCTATCACAGGGCTACACTTAGAGACAGACAACCACATTCACACCTACGGACAATTTAGAATCACCAATTAACCTCAACATGTTTTCGGACTGTGTGGGAGGAAGCCGGAGAACGCGGAGAGAACCCACGCTGCATGGGGAGAACATGGAGACTCCACGCAGAAAGATCCCTCACCGGGATGCGAACCGGTGACCTTCTCGCTGCAAGGCAACCTAAATCAAGTACCATATGCTTTTATTGAAGATTCTGAGAGACATGCTTCATTCTTAAAAATCTTAGAAATCACGTCACACACTGGACATCATAACTCACCTTGTTCACAGTATGGTTCTCCATCCTCCAGGTGGAAGGTGTTGTTTCTGATTGGCTGCTGACAGCGAGCACAAAGGAAGCAGTAGACATGCCACGTCTGTTTGAGGGCATTTATCACCTCCTACAGATACAAACAGAGTGGTTATTTAGAGGTGTTTTGCAGGTATTAGATGTACTAAAGTCACAGTAACTGTAAAGCTAGGAGCACTGTACCAGAAAGTGAAAGTTTGCAGAGGATGGTTTTCAGATGGATGCTCCCATGTTCCCTTCTTACATGTAATGTTGCCATCCATATAATTTGTCAACAAAATCAGAGTGGCCACACATATTTGTTGTACATGTATCAGGAATGCACAGCCTTACCTACAGTATGTCCTTTTCTCATGTCCCACTTAAATATTACTCTTTTTTTTTTTTCCTCCTTTTTCTTGTGGGGCCACATGACCCAGCTTAAAATAGACACTCTGATTTCTTTCCCACCCTTAAACTGTGAGAACAAGACAGGACAGGGAATCAATGGAAAGTTGGTGGGCCCGGGTAAAAATGAAGGATTAAGAGAGAGGGAGTGAGAAAACAGGTTCATAAGAAGCTGTAAGCTGGTTGAAGATGTGTGAGAAATAGAGGGTTGAAAGGGATTGAGGCTAAAGAGGTTAGAACATGTGAGGGATGAATGTCGGAGCTACTACGAGGGGAGAGATTTCAGCTCCCTGACACTCTGGGTTCAGGCTACACCTGCAGCCTCTGGGCCTCTAAGCCTAATTCTCCTAACACCCAAACGTACACTGCATTCCTGAGTTTCATTGGTGGTCACCATAGATTTTGCTCTATAGCTCCTCTGTGTATATTGTCCTGCATCTTTTAGGGTTGGAGCTACAGAGTGGCAAAGTATTGCTTTGATGGTGGCACCATCTGCACCTTTTATGCCACTTTATTATTTGGTTTCAGATTCCTAACAACTAGGGGTTTACTTGCATTGGTAATAATTATAATCCAGATTATTGAAAGAGTTGCCAAAGCGATGTGAGGTTATTTATCCAGGTCAGCTTTTATAATCTACAAGCAATCTTATCCGTAGTGTTAAAAGTGGTGCATGTTGGGAGATAACGCAGTCAGAAACAGGTAGAGCAGCAGGTTTCATAGTAATATAGCCTCTCCCAGTTAGACGTGGGACATCTGGGAGCTACTTTGTCCTATATAATCATGTTTATACAGTGTTGGCTAACAAGTTTTGTTTATGCATTCCCATAGCATGCAGCGAAAATGAGCCGGGAAGTGAAAAATAAGAAATACGCTGACATGTGGTTAATGTAGTTGCTGTAAATTAGCCTCACATAGAGACTCAGATGTTTTAAAAAAATGCTGCATACTAAATAGATCATTATAGAAAAATGGGGAGAAATATAAGACCATTAAACAAATTAAGTCAGAAGCTGGGATGTGTGTCAAGGCTCGCACTGAATGTCACAGAGGAGGACTATGGTCTCCCAACAACAGGTGGTGGAGTTTGAGAACAATCAATGTCAAGGCCAGCAGTACAGTAAGTAACTGTTACTGACTAAAAACGATCAGACAAACGGTTAAATATGGAGGCTAGTAAAGCCTTCAACCTTCTTCACATTTGCATGTAAACTCACCCCCAGTATCTTGGTCTGGCAGCGGCTGCACGTTGGAGCGAAGAACTCTTCGTAGCAGTGTTCACAGTGGACAGATCCCTGCTCTTCCACGAAGCCGACTTCTGCCAGGGATGCACGGCAGTGGGCGCAGTTAAATTCCTCCTTATGCCATGATTTCCCCATCGCCACCAAAAATGGCCCCCTGGAAAGACAGACGAGAAAAGGCAATAGGATAAGTAAAGACGAAACAACACAGGCAAACCAGTCATGTATAAGTGAGTAATTAATCATTCTAACAGTAATTCTTTCCAACTTCTACGAGTTGTCTCTTGGCGTAGTCAGCATATAGGTTCTCTTCCTTCTCTAGATAGACAATCACTACATTAAATGTTGTGATTTACCCCTGATTTTCTTGCTAATTCTAATATTACTTTATAAGAATGTACAGTAAATGAATCAGCATGTTTAGAATGACATGCGACTGTAATTAAGCAGAAGCCAAAACCCTCACAATAAGAACCAGTAGCTAGAATCATGTGTTTAGAAGAAGTCAGGTGATCATCTTAAGTCCTGATTCATCTTCATTTAACCCTTTTCAGGACTTCTGGGGCCTTTTGGTCCCCAGGCCATTTGGTTGAGGTGACAGGTATTGTTTGTTGACAGGTATTTGTCGTACATTTTGAACCAAACATACTAATCAGAAAATTTATTTAACATAGTATGAAAGTCTATAATGAATACCAACAAATATTTTGCACATATTCTTTCTTGGGGTCCCCGAAAGACCTTCTACGTACGGCAACATGAACGTCCTGAATAAGGTTAAACATTTTTAATCAATTAATTGATAATTATTTTTCAAAAAAACAACAATAAATAAGCAAACTTGTTGTTTAATAAATCATTGCCCGTAAACTAATTGATGAACACTACCAGTATTCCATTCAGGTCACTACAGGTTGTTTTATCGACGAGGAGCACATTTTAGAAATTCAACTCCGTGACCATCATCCTCTGCTTCCACTCAGACAGCGCCTTGGCCCTGTCCACTTTGATGATTAGGTAAAGAGGGAATACAACGGAGACTAATTTACTCCACACAATAGCTGCGCTTATCTGGGCTAACACTGATAGCTGGCAGCCATTAGCATGTGAGCAACCCTATCCTTGGTGATATGTAATGTTAGGTGACACAATCTGGGAGATAACGCTCGGGTCAGGGCAAGAAGAGAGGTAGACGAGGGAGAGGAAGAGGAAGAGAGTTCAGAGCGGTGACCTTTTGTGTAGCTCTGGCTGGACAACTTTTGCTTAAACTTTTATAGCTCAGGTATGTTTTTTTCTAGACTTTGTGGAATTGGAAAATCAAGGTCATGTTTTCTCCTCTTTTTAAAGCAGTTTTAGGATGATTGCCTTTTTTCTTTATCAGCTCCAACTCCACATTCAACACATATGACATCTTGACTTCAACTTTTACTAACTATGCATACATATCAGATCCTCAACTCATAATCTTAAACATTACCTTCACCGTAACCCAACAGGAAAATCAACATCCTATTGTGAGCGTATGTTCATTTAGCATCATTCTACGGTTTGAACGGCGGGTGCAACTTAACTCCCCTCACCCTTATCCATACTACAGTCAGCGCCGCTTCTAAAGTTTCATACACAGATTGTTTACTCGAGTTAGTGAGAAGTTAATTATTTTATGCGCCTCGCTGAGGTGCTGAATAATTAAGCAGTGGACATATTTCCTTTCCCCATTCTCAATTTGTTGGAGTATAAGCTGATGTGTGTGCAGCCCACGTTGAGGAGATCACCTCTCTTTGGATTATTCCCGTGCGAGCAGTATATGGGCATGATATGATGGAACTAAACATCATGCATGTGCGCTGTCTCTTTCACAGTTTTAGCTATAAATGGTCACAGAGGTCTCGTTCATTCCTGATGGCTGAGCCCGTGGATTCTGCATTCATAGCGTGTCCATACTGCAGGCTGCTACCAATGATGACACTTGAAAAATAATGATATATGGTTCTCTGTAAAGCCTTAAATACATGGGCTATTATTGCATGTGTTGGCACAGAGTTTGTCACCATGTGGCTCGATACACAAAAATCTGTTTTTGTTATTTATGAATGCATGAGTTTTTATTATTCTTTTATTATTATAAATGTCAGAGTTAATGTTTTTCAATGTACATGCATTTTTCTCAGGCTTTACTGATATTTCATGCTAATACTGTACATTTTTATAGATGGACAACTCAGGTATGTGCTTGTTTGGTTAATGATTAATGTGGATGGACAGATGTGGCATCTCCATCCTTTTTGTTCGAGTTTTTCAGCTAGAATCATTCTGTTTTCGGGCAAATTAAAGATTTTTTTTTAGAGCACTCATGAGCTTTTGGAAGTCCTGACTCAAGACATGGCTGAAAAGGGGAGAAAACGACTGCGTTTATAGGAGCAGGGTCAAGACAGCTGAGGTAACTATATGAGATTCCCTCATCAGTCCTAACTTTTCTTGGGCCTGCAGTTTTGCATGAGTCAGATGATGATGATGTAGAACTAGAATTCCCAGTATAGTGTTGTCAAAAACCAAGTTATATACCTCAGGTCACTAGTGACTCACGAGTGACACTAGTGTACTGAAAAAAATAATAGTTGAAGGAATACCAAGGGATTGACTATTTAATTAAAGAAAAAAAATGTTCCTACTATCATACTGTATGTGCATTTTAGGCTGTTTTAAAGATTCTAATTGATCTTTAATATTAGCTACAGCATTTGTCCTTCACCTGATGACCATGTTGCAGTGGGCACACATCGGCGTACGAGTCCCAGCAGGAATATGTTCCGCCATCTGGACCAGAGTGTCCTCATCTTTAGGGTGGGGCTGAGGAACGGGCCGGGCTGGGACGGGGCCCCTCGGGAAGCTGGCGCTGCCATTACCCTTCATACCAAAAGATGGAGTGATCAAACCGGTCTGAGGACGATGACCTGAGGGAGGTGGAGGAGACATAAAAGGCTGCAATAAGAACCAAAGAAGCAGAGAGGGTAGGAGGCTAGACGTGAACTCAAAAAGAAAAGCGCTCATGGCATCACAATGCCTGGATGTGTGTGTGTGTCTGTGTTTTCTTTCCAGGTTTGTAAGTTATTTGACCTCTACCCTCTCTGACTATACACCCAGCAGGTGTCATGGTGGTGCATGCAGCTGGTTGACTACTGTTGTCAAAACCGTGGATTCGCCGCATCAATCTTCTGCAAAACACTGAATATTTCAACTTTCAACACATTCCTGCAGTGTGTGTGCATGCATACACATGACACACACACACACACAGACCACCAAGACGTTCCCTCTGCTAAAACCCAGACACCTGGCTAAACACGTAGCTTGGCCTCCTGATCTCTCCACACTATAGATGGCAATGCTGCTGTTGTTGTATGTGTTAATGGTGAGAGAAAGGCTACAACTGGAGCTTGGATTTAACATTAAATGCCATGTTTAAGAGTTTCTGTCGGGCAAGCAACAGGACTGAGTTTGTAATTAAAGTAGCAGCTAGTGGGGTATTCATTTAAATCATCATCATAAAAAAACAGAGGACTTAATGTGAAACGTGTGTCAGATACTCCAACAGGAGGCTTGTTGAAGATTCAGGTCAAACTGTTTTGCAAAGTTAAATGTTTCTGCATGCGTTTCATTAAGTTGCGTGCCGACGGTGAAGCCACTGAAGGAATGAAGGGGCGCAGGCAAGTGAAAGATGCGCGTGACTGCATTAGTGTGTTTTTAAATTTGCACAGTGCCAGCAGTGTTTTTACAATGGGCATTAGCAACAAGCCAACTGCTGAAGCCCTGGTGTCTTTAACGGCAGCTCAAGATTCAAAACGGGCCAGTGGCTTACTGCTGCTGGGCCGCTATATGACCGGCAGTATATTTTCATGAGCCTGGGTCTCTGGGTAAGTGACTACATTTACGATTTTTGTTGAGCAGCAGTTACATCAGATTTAAAAACAGAGGAGAGGACTTGTGTTGAATGAAGCTGAGGCTAAAAGAGAACAAACTTGTTTGAAATAATCAGATATCCATGCAAAGACACTGTATGTGTGCACATGATAAAGAGAATAATGCACAGAACACTCTCAGGGTTTAGCGCTGATGGAGTATAGGCATTACACTGCAGCTCTGCGCCTTGCCTTTAAAACTTTATTCATAACTCCCGACAGGTCCCCTTCAATAAATATTATCTTTCTGACAACGTAGACCTGCTGCACATGTGACCGAGCAAGGCGCCACAGGCAGAAGTGGGCCTTCTCGCCTGCTTAATGGCCTTCCACAGAGGAAAAACACGAGAAAAGGAAAAGAAAGTCTGCAATGACCTATTTCACAACATATGTCACGCTTCAACCATGGAAAATAAGCCTCTTTCCCCTTGCTAACTGGCTGTAACAACATTCAATCCAACAGCCGTAAATCAGTTTCACACTATGGCAGGATTGGGAACCAAACATTTTTTTGTGTGAGGAGAAAAAAATCCAGTTTTTAACCTTGAGGGGAGGAGGAGGGGGATGTATTAATCAATCAAAATGCTAACCTAAAGGAAGATTTAGTCGAATACCTAAATGAGGGGTTATTTTTGGGATTCTATTTTGGGGGAAGTCTTCATTTTGGGTATGCATGCATTCCCCGTGACTTATGCTAAGAAAACAGTTGAGGCAGCTCAGTCTGATTATATTCCGCTAGTTAATTTACTGAAAAAATACCGCAAAATGCCTACAGTAAAAACGACTCACACACAGTCACACAGACACACTTTTGTTAGATTTGGCAGCATATTTAATGCACTATTGAAAAGATTTCATGCAGCCTTGGCAGGATGAGCTAAATATGTATTTTAGTCACTGAAACCCATGTATTATGGATACTACACTCTTTAATATGTGCTCACAATTTCAGTCAGTTACCAGGAGACGTGCCAATTGTGCCTTGCTCCACAGTCCATAAATCACATTTTATACAGGGTGAAAAAAAAAATGACAGCTGGCAATAATTGTAACCACTGCTCATTGTGAATGTGTGAGGGAGTGAAAAAGCACCTTTCAGATATGCTGCAATCACACACGGACAAGAGAGAACACACACGGTGTTTACCCTGAGCTGTAGCAGGCCCTTTGATCATAGTCTTGACAACTGCAGACTGGTGGGTGTTGGGTTCAGGTTCCTCGCTCTCATCACTGCGCACAGAAGAAACATAATGATATTTAAATATTGAATGACAAGTTTTGGTTAGATCACTTAACATGTTTTGTAATCAAATCTACACAGACATAAATAAAACTGTACATCCGAATCTGTTGTCGCTGCACATTCAGTGTTCAACAAACTCTGTAAATTGTAAGATATCTGCATCAGTCAGAGTGATGGTTTACACAACAGTATTGTGGCTGATTCTGTTTGTGTACGTACTCTATAGTATGTGTGTTATCTCTTTGATAGCTCACTCTACTCATGGCTCACAAAAAAAAAGAACAGAAGAAAAAAAAATTCACCAGTTTTCCAAAGATCCTGTCAAAACACAGTAAGACAGACTCCAGACCACCTACCTGCTGACAGAGCAGAGACGGTACAGTACCAACCAAAACACAGAATCCAGCTACAGCCAAAACAGTACAGTACTCAACTTCATGGTGCACTTCCTCCTAGTGACAACCCAAAAAAACGTTGCCCATGTGCCACATTCGCGGCGAAACACAGACCAGGCCACAGGCCTGATGATGGATAGGAGACAAGTCGGTTTGCAGAGCACTAATAATGCAGCACACCCATTCAAAAAATGATGCCAGAATATTAATTTAGATGACTCAATTGAGGGTAACTGACTTCAGTGGAGTGAAATACAGCATGGTGTAATGTGAAAAAGTGCCCATTCCTCATAGACTGTAGACAGATGTCAGACTACCAGTCTTAATAATGGAGGCGAGACAGAGTCCCCATTGTACAGAGCCGAATCCAACCACATCCATCTCACTCCATCCAGTGAATAATTTATAGATTTTTGCAGTTATTATATACACAGGTAAACATTGGTGTGTCCTACCTTTATATTTATTAAATACACTAAAGGAGAATGTATCGTTTGGGGCAATTGATTGAGGTCATGGACAGACTAAATGAATGAGTCTCCAAGGCAACGTTGGCAGCTGATTCTCATGAGCTCCCAAGAAATAAAACTCAATTTCACATTTGGGTCAAAGGATAAGTAATTTTAAGAGGCTCTGTAGTAAAATTTAGAGGTGATCACATCAAACGATGCCAGAACACTAATTCAAATCATGAAGTAGAGAAAATGACCAAATGGGACAAGTCATATTTCTCATCTCGTTGCACAAGGCTGATGAATGGAGCTGAACGTAGAGCTGTGAGTCAGTCAGAGTCAGACGAACGCTGCTGTTGGTGCCACATTTTGTCTCCAGAGGAATGTAAACATATAATATCTGCGACTTGCCCAAGGTCTCAGAAATGAAGATCTAAGACAACTCATATTTTGTGGGGGCAGGGTCACACAGTCTCTCCTGGGTCAAAATGTTTTCTGGTAAGGTAAACATGTGTCTCTGAGCAAAATACTCCCACATGAGGCAAACTTTCTCCTTGCTTCACACACAATGCTCTTATTTGGACAAACGTTGTGTTGGATCTACATGTAGGGCAGCATTTTCTTTCTTCATCTAAGAAGAGCGACACATTTTCAGCAGAGACAACTTGGTTCTCATAAATGGAGTTTCACTAATTGTCCATTAATAAAACTGGCAACAACATCTAAAGTTATGCATAATGTGCAGTCATTATTCACATGGATAATTCTTAAAATGGAAAAACAAATTAGGGTAACACTTTATAATAACTATCCGTTATAACTAGTTAATAGATCATTTGTAAACTGTTAATTAGTGAGTTATTAACCACTTGTTAAGTGTTTGTTAATAGTTTGTTGATGATTTATAACGATGCCTTATAGATAGTTAATAAACCATTTACAAACTGTTAATGAGTTATAAATGACTTGCTAACTGTATATTAATGATTTACAGCCATACCTTATAAACCAGTCATAGATCATGAACAAGCCGTTAGTGAATTACTTACTAATGACTTGTCACGTATCAGTTAATAGTTTATATATGTTATTGGGATGTTATTCTAAAGTTGCAACTATTCCTCATTTATTAACTGCTGGTAAATGAGGAATAGTTGCAACCTTAGAATAACGTCTCAATAACATACATAAGCTTATAACTAATACTTAACTACTACATTAACTCACACTTTACAGATCACTTGTCAATAGTTTGTTAACCATCTGCCAATACCAATGAAACTTTGTAGAACAGCAAATGGGTGGAACAAGTTCAAGGTACAGAAATTTGATGTGATATTTAAAATATCACAGTTTTGTACCTCAACCCTCTTCCACCCATAGACTTTTCTGTGCATTATATTTTACCAAAGATATATAACAGATAGAATGTTGAACATTGTCTTTAGTGTATGCGGAATAAATGAGGAATAGTTGCAACTTTAGAATAACGTCCCAATAACATATATAAACTATTAACTGATACTTAACAAGTCATTAGTAAGTAATTCACTAATGGCTTGTTCATGATCTATGACTGGTTTATAAGGTATGGCTGTAAATCATTAATATACAGTTAACAAGTCATTTATAACTCATTAACTAACATCAACAAACTATTAACAAACACTTAACACTTAACAGTTTACAAATGATCTATTAACTAGTTATAACGGATAGTTATTGTAAAGTGTTACCCAAATTAGACTTTACACATTCCCAATTTTTGAATTTTTAAAAAATATTTTTGCAGGTTTGGTTTGAACTTATTTTTCTGGTCGGCTTCCTGTCAGACTTCATCCAGCTGTCGTGGTGAAAGTGAATAAAACGTCTCTGCCCTTCAATCAAATGTGACCCAAAGGCCTCCAACACTTGACTTGCCTTTTGAAATGATGCAAAATGAATAACCTCTCTATAACATGAAGTGTGTGTGCTCACGAGCGCCAGCTGAGTAGCTTGGGTGGGCCAACAGTATCTCCCCAGACGTATTACAACCGTAATGCAAAGTCGTACTTGGTGCCAGCGGTTGGATCACTGTTGTCTTCCCCTTGTGCCTGGCTTTTAGGAGCCTCGTGGGAAACAAGTGTTATGGCAACTGCAGTCATAGTTACATCGAGTTGTGCCTGCGTGTTTTGTGTGAGTGAAAGAGTGAAAGAGCGGGAGAGATAGCGTTGAAGTGACAAGAGACTATAAAAAGTGAGAAAGAGACAAAGATGGAGGAAGAATGTTGCACCTGTGTGTGCTGCCTTCACCTTAGCAGATGTGTTTCAGCTCCCCTCCTGACCTCGGCTTTTTTTATGCACACGTTTTATTAGAACAGATGAGACATCCACAGCGTTTAATGATTTCTACAGTGCAGAGGTTCACCCGGTTCCCCATGCAGAACTAAAATCAGTGATTCAAACTTTCTGAATGAGCGCTTTTAGCTGTGTAAATGTGGAAAATAGTGGTTGTGGAATATGTGAGAGACACCCGAGGAGAGGAGAGGAGAGGAGAGGTGAGGAAAGGAGGCAATAAATTTACCTAAAGATATAGACAGCATTGACAGGAGAGGATAGGAAAAGGTCCCCATCTTCTGTGGCAGATTGATGCCAAGACACTCTTCGGTGTGAAAAGACAAATAAGGACAACACTTAAACACAAAGCTTTGAAAAAATGGCATCCCCCGATTTACACAGAAAATGTGAATCGTGACTGAAAAGACAAATAGTTAAAATGTGATTAATACACACACTGATAAACACTAGACACACCAGCTACAGTGCAATGACAAGGATTGTGATAAACGCACCCAGTGGGCTGTTGTGTTAGCATTGATTCCCGCTAATCAGCGTATAGCCGGGACGCTCCTAATCTAAGTACTCTCTATAGGAAAGAGACTGTCGGGCTGCAGAACATCTCTCTTCGTTATCAGTTTATCATTTTGTATATCACGCGTGTCACAGGAGGAGGCAGAGGGCTGCTTTACAGATCTTGTATCTACAAACCTGGAAGCAGTCCAGCGTAGCACCGACTCGCTGCGTTTCCATTAGACCTCTTTAAAAATGTATTCTCTGAATTTTGCACAGACCAGCAGTACCTTCACTCCTTCTTATGTAAAATGGGTGTAAAGAAAATAAAAAGTCTGAAACCCTCCAAACCACCTCCCTCTGTGTATTCTGAAGTGTGTGTTCATCCTCACCTGTTATAACCCCGCTGTGTGCAGTCACACTAATGAGTCTTTTTTTTTTCTTGTCAGTAGACAGTAAAGGTGAAGAAAGAAACTTGCAAAAGAGGTCACTGGCTTGACCACAAACACACTAAGCATGTCACTAGGATGCCCCACAGACTGTTTATTTTCAGATTGAAGAATTTTTATTGGAGGATTTCTAAAGAAAAAAAATAACGATTGTGGTCAAAACATTTTTCTTTCTTTCGTTTTCACCCCGTGCACATTTATCATTAGATTGCTTCAGTTTGGCAAATTATAGCCATAAGTAAGAAAGTAGGTAAATTAAACAAGTAGACAGGTACATGTTCTGCTATTTTTAATTTATTGAAGCAAGCTAGATTCTGTCTGCGAGCAAACAGAAGCAGGTGCGTCAGCGGGCATCGACCCATCAAGCAGAACGATCATGAAAAGAACAGGAAAGACCTCTTCCTCATCATGCCATTAGGCTGTTCAACTCTGCGAGATTAGAAACTGCAGCGCCATCTATTTGAATTATCTTAGCCAACAAGCCAACAACATTCATTCACATTAGTGATGGTAATTGGTTAACAACAGGTGACAAATAGAGCAGGAAATAAGATGCTCCCCAGCCCTTCATTCATTAGAACCAGTTACAGTGCAGCTCGTTAATATTCTCCACCAATCAGGCCAATTACATGTGAAGTTGATTGTATTCTGGAAGACTGTGATTGGTTTTGTGGAGAGCTCTGCTGTTTGTTTCTGATTCAATAGCAGCCATTTAGATTGCTGACCATCTGGACACAATGGGCCGCATATGAACCCTGTCAAGTAGAAGGAATAATTACAGAAGAACTGGAGGAAGGAGGGAGAGGACTGGATTGATTTGTTTTTTTATTTGTCTTTCTCTCCTGCTCTGGTTTGTATTCTAC